TAACATCAGTAACAGGATTTTCAGCTGAATGATTACGACTGGTTTATGCGGGCGGATGATGACCTGTACGTGCGGAGTAACAAACTCGAAACACTCCTGAGGTTTGCCATTTTCTCTATAAATCGAATTTTTAAAATCAGATTGGCTCAAAAGTCTCGGAGTAAATCGAAATTCTTCATGAACCTTTGCGGCCGCAACGTTTTCACTTTGTAAAATTATTTTTATATAGCTCTGCTCAACAGTTATAATACAGGTCGTTGGACTCGGAAAAAGCTTACCTGATTGGTCAAGCCGGACTGGGCAACACAGCTGAATACGGACAGTTAGCACTTGGTCAGCAGGATAACTACTGTATGGGTGGACCGGGAATCGTGATGTCACGCGAGACACTTCGTACCGTTGCGCCGCATTTGCGTTCCTGCCTGATGGAGCTACTTACTAACCACGAGGACGTCGAACTTGGGAGGTAACAAATTAACATTGAAATTCTTTTGATGCAAATTTTGAATCAAATTTTTGGATTGCAAGACTAAAATTCCTCTTTTACCGAGAAAATAATGCTACTTTTGTGCTCAATGAGCTGCGATTGTAGCAAGCGGTATTACTTTAGTCGTTAGAAGCGGGCATATCAGTACGGCCAAGAAAAAGTGTGCAATTTAAGCAAAATGAGTTTCATGGATTACGGACGAAGAGCCTAACCTATGCTAGTGTTTCCAGGACTTCCTGGAAGCGTCGCCAATGTGGAATGGAACTAAAATTTTGGTGATTGTGATGAAATCGAAATATAATGAATGTAAATTTCAAGGGGCAAAATTTATTAGAAAAAGAGGTGTAATTCTACGAATTATTGGAATCGAATTTTTCGGCCTTCCCATCTGACCTTCCCTGAGATAAATCGTTATAAAGCGGAAACGTTTTACTTCGAATCCAAAAATTTATTGGCATAATAAGGCTCAAAGAAGCACTGCGTTTCCAGATGCATACGCAAGCATGTTGGCGTGACTTGTACGTGGAACTATGAGATGCACACTTTGTTTCACAACAATCAGACCGTACCACACGCCTATCAAGGCAGTTTAGCGGAG